TCAACGTAGGTGCGTTTAAATCTGACTCAAGGCCTATTTCTTTTGATTTTAATATTAAAAAAAGGAAGTGAGTCAATTTTCGGTGCACCATAGGAAAATCAACTTGATGCGTCTAATTATGACTCGGCATATTTTATTTTGTTAGTCTCGTACCAAAAAATAGGCGAGTCACTTTTGACGCACCATTCGTTACAAATTAGTTTTAGTAGGTTGGAAGGAAAATAAACAAAACCATATTATTAAAACATTATTCAAACACAATGTAAAAATTTAAAAAAAATTCTTCACAAATTAATTTGATTAAGGTTTATATAATATACATCCTTTTTTTTAAACTCTTGACAAAATTAAATATTTAAATTTTGACACGGCCAATTTTATTTATAAACAATTGATAAACTGTGATAAGCTGTGTATGTACATAGGTAAAACAACGAATAAAATTATTCATTACCTAACTTATCATTAATTATTCTACCTAATTGTATTATATTTGGAATTAACGACGTTTTTTCTTTGTCTATTTGGTCGGTTTTTAAAGTTTGTCTTTATGTTGTTAATTTCTGATTGGTTTGAACATATAGAACTGTTAAGTCGAACGTGTAAGCAAAGCCAAACAACTTTACAATGTTCCAACTTGGTAAATACCACCTTGAGAATTAGAGTCACGTTTCACCAAAACAACGACAACTTTTCTAAAGTGTGTTGATTTATGTCTTCTGCCACCTAGGACAACTTGGCATTCGGCAATGTCAAATTTTAATAAATATCTCGTATCTAAAATGAATATTTCCACGTTTGTTAAGCCGTTTGTATACTGACAAATAATATAAAATATGCTCGAGTTACATCCCTGTTTTCTCCGAGTTTTTCCACAAAACTTTCCGCGGGTGAGTTACGGCGATGATTTTGTTTTCGCGTTTTTCCAGGGTCGACGACCACAAATGTTGAAAGTCAATCAGACTTTCTTGGGCGCAAATGTTTGCTTCTTTGTCAAAACTGCGGTACAACTCACATCCCCCTATATTCATCAGATAAGCTGAAATAGATATTTTCCGTCAAAAAGTTTTGTCTATCAAATATTACAAAGTCATTTCATTTAAACAATAATCTAAACCCATCATGTTTAGTGGTCTAACTGACCAAATTACTTCTTTCAATCAATTAATCTTTTTACGAAAATTATTGGTAGGAGATGAAAAAGTTGATGTCACTATAGCCCAAGTGGTTAGAGTAGTGACGTATTGAGCCGAAGGTCGTGGGTTCGAATCCCGCTCGTGACACTAACTTTTTCATCTAAATCAAGACTTTTCATAAAAAGAATAAATAATTGAAAGAAATAATCCAAACGTTATTTAAATTTTCCAAACAAACCAGAAAATTAACACCTTTCTGAAGATCTTTTAAATGAACTAGATTCGTTTAAATGTGCAATTTACAAAATCCTCTTTTTATTAATCATTTATTTATTGATTAACCAGTATATTTTGAATGCCAAAATTATACAATTTCTATTATTGAATTAAGTACATGGATTCCTTTAAGAAATAAATCTTTGATAAAACCATCCAGATTATGAAAATCATTATTTCACCCTTCCTCAGAGTCATTTATATCTGGAAGTTTCCAAAAAGTTTTTTTTTTCTCTTCTAAGTTTCCTGCTTCCTTGATAATAAAATATAATACTTTGAAACTGTGGATTGTTATTTACCAACAGTGGATGTATTGTGCAAAACACCCGTTTGTTTTGATGTTGTTTCATTTGTTCACTAATCAATAACTGTATTATTTGAAGTTGGTGTATTCATTGAAGCGGTTGTTTCATTTATTTATGGCAAATTCAATGCTTCTTGTTTATATGTGACGTGAGGACTTCATACCACTAACAGTGATCAGTTTTCATTGTTGCCTTGTCTTGTCAAAGCGAGTTTCGTGCCAAGTCTTGTGTATACCTTTTTCTCTCTTCTATCTACCAATTTCTATTTATCTGTTTATCTTTTTAACAACTCTCTCTCTCTCTCTCTCTCTCTCTCTCTCTCTCTCTCTCTCTTTTCTCTCTCTCTCTCTTCTCTCTCGCTCTCTCTCTCTCTCTCTCGCTCTCTCTCTCTTTCTCTCTCTCTCTCTTCTCTCTCTCTTTTCTCTCTCTCTTTTCTCTCTCTCTCTCTTTTCTCTCTCTCTCTCTTCTCTCTCTCTTCTCTCTCTCTTTTCTCTCTCTCTCTCTTCTCTCTCTCTTCTCTCTCTCTTTTCTCTCTCTCTTTTCTCTACCTCTCTCTCTCTCTTTTCTCTCTCTCTCTCTCTCTCTCTCTTCTCTCTCTCTCTTTTCTCTCTCTCTCTTTTCTCTCTCTCTCTCTCTCTCTCTCTCTCTCTCTCTCTCTCTCTCTGCCGTCTCTCATCTACTCTTTCTAGGGAACTCTTTCATTTACTCTTTGTACTATTTTTACAACGCTTTTTTAAAAAAATTATTGTATAATAAATTATTACACAAAAAATAAAATCTTAATCAATGTGTACAACAAAAAAATACCTTGTGGCAGGTATATAAATATGTTTTAACATGGAAAGTCTCCACTAAATCTAAATTACTTTGAAAAAACATTAAATCGTCAAATTTAATAACAGTCAGAGCAAATACAAGGATAAAATTATCAAGTTATTTTTTCCTTATAACATGTAAGAATCATTATATCATTATAAGTACTAGTTAGTTTACTACTTAGTTTTCATAAACTGATTTTTTTTCATTTTCAATTTATTTAATACCTTAAAAAAGTTGTTTTGGTACAATATAAAATGGGTTTAAAAAATTTAAATTCTCAATTCAGTTGTTTCTATGTAACAAGGGATGAAATTGCCTTTGAAGACCTTTAAAAAAATTCTAATAGACTAAAATAGTTAGAATGCAAATGTGATTGCAACGATACATAAACATCACTGGGTAAATTCAGATGGTAATTAGTTTATGAAAACTCGTGTGTTAGTTTTTCCCCCGAGATTTTGCCTAAATGTAATTTACATTTTAAAAAGGTTCACGCTATGTAAAATACATTTCTAAACACGCAATTTCGTTTATTTTTACCAAACAACTTTTAGTTACTGTTTAAAACGCTATTTACGTCAAAAAATGAAGATAAATTCCCTTTGATTATAAACAAATTAAAAAAAGAATTATATAAAACTCAATAATGAAAATATCAATATCAATCAGTGGACTCCTATTTACTGTTTTCTTTCAGAATATCATAAAATAATACTTTGTACATGGCGCCAGTATATTGATGGAAAAATAATTTATGTTTATGTATTAAAATAGGTTATATTTTTATCTTAGTTATTTTGGTAAAAAATATATTTTACTCAAATTCTTATTATATGAAACCTAAATTAATTGTTTCAACAGTTGAACATAATTTACAATCATTTAATATCGAAAATAAAAACCTTTATTTCAGTGTTTTATTTAATAATAATATTCTTGAAAGAAAATTGCCCTTGAAAAAACATTACCAACAAACCAAACATTTATTAATTAGACTAAAATAAATCATATAAAAATAAATCAAAAACAAACAGACGTTATTTGTACATATGTGTTTATTTTTTATTTTCAAACATTACCCGACTATACATATGCATATCAAAATAAAGCATTTCTGCTATAAATAAACGTTCCATGATTTAGACAATATCTATTGAGTTAACATAGTTCAACGAGTTAAAAACGCCATTTACGTTTTAAAAAACACGCATAACTTAAAGTTGTTATGAACAAATTAAAAAAACCTCAGATGAAATTGCACATAGAAGATTTATACAAACAAATTTTATGACTTTTTTTATTTCGAAATTATCCTTTAAAAAAAGCTAAATGAGAATTTGTATAAAGAGTAACTATTATAATTTTTTCTAGAAAAGAAATACCTCCTTTTTTGTTCTTCGAATTAGTCAGTACAAAATCTTTATTTTTAGATATCCGTGTTAAGCTATTCTTTTTTTTATTTTAATTATATGTGAATTGTTGTTTACTTTATTTCTTATCTAAAATATACTTTATTAGAACATATTATATTCCTGAAAACAATAACAATAATTAGTTTATACAATACGTTTGTTTGGCCTTAATTTAATCTATTAAGGATACAAACAAATTTTACGACTTTTTTATTCGAAATTATTCTTTAAAAAGAAACTAAATGAGAATTTGTATAAAGGGTATGAAAAATTATTATAATTCTTTCTAAAAGAGCATTATCTCCTTTTATGTTCTTAGAATTAGTCAGTACAAAATCTTTATTTTTAGATATTCATGTTAAGCTATTCTTTTTTTTTTAATTTTAATTATTTGTATTTCTTTGTTGTTTACTTTATTTCTTATCTAAAATATACTTTATTAGAACATATTACATTCTTGAAAACAATAACAATATTTTGTTTATTCAATACGTTTGTTTGGACTTAATTTAATCTATTAAATCTATGATGCCTCGTACGTCAAAGTAATCAATTACAAATAAATTGCAATTATCATAAATAAATTTAAGACAAGTCAGAACAATTACAAGGACGTTAAACCTTTGTAGAATGTTTAAAAAGAAAGTAATTAGAAATTTGCGTAAGTAATTGTTTATGTTTAGTTATGTTCTTATAAATTACCTTCATAATAACGTTTTGTATTTTTACATAGCTAAAGTTAATTTTTGTATTCCGTAAGAACGTTGTTTTGTTCTTAAAATAATCTGGTCTTATATGTACTCAGTGAGAAAACTCAATGTCAACAAGTAGTTAGAGTGTTTTTCCAGTATGAGAAAAAATAATAATGGAAAAATCATTTTACGGAATAGTGGAATTTGACGTTTGGCTCTTAGACTAAAATTGTCTGGAAGGAACAAGTGTTACTGTAATGTTTTTGCCAAAGGTTGTATCGAGGTTTGGATTTGTCAGGTATCGTGTTGTTACACTAGGGATAAACATGTCATCGAAATGATATTGAGAAAAGAACTTACTTTCCAGGCGGGTAAGCTTGGCCAATCCTCTTTTCCAGAAAGAAGTAGGGCCCTAGCTTTTTCTGTTTGGTTAGCACCGCGGTGGCTGGTTTCCGACGCCTGAAATATCTTGATCTCTTTGAAATGTGCCTCTTTGACCGGTAGGATGGCTATGAATTGAGTACCGGGAATATTGTATTTGCCGTGTTTCGTCGAAAAGGCGAAAGTCTGGTATTTCGCAGGAAGCGCGACGATGTTCGTCGTCAACAGTATCGGTATAATGACAGCTGCCGCAACAGTCACGCAGCCGATAATAAGACTGACGATTAGTACGCAGGCTATCCTATTTCTTTTCAGCCGCCTGTGTCTTTCTATTTTTACGGAATTGTCTTCCTGAGGAAGGATTCTGTATTGGAGAGAAGACTCTCCTTGCCTTACTATCTTGTACATCTTCAGGGGAGAACGAGTACCGCTATCATTTTTCCGACTTACGTCAGTCCGGTTTCGACCCTATTCGACGTGAAGAATGACGCCAAATGTAAAAGGGAGAAAGGCATTGCAGCTCGACATGACGCTTGAGAGTGAACTGGCCCCGATCCCCCACAAACCGACTTATAACCAACCCCCAACCCTTTCAACTCTGGCGACGAGCCTTCCAACTACTACGTTCGTCAAAAACACCCCCACGTCTTTCACAATAGCAAAATTAACAAATAAGCGACTCCTTACGATTAAATTAATGAGTACTAGTCTCAACTAAATAATTGGGTCTAGACTTGAAATATCTATACATGAAGGAATGATTAATACGAGGACACAACGCGTTAATATCCGTATTTATGGTTTCATAACTTCCATTTTCTCATCTCTAGGGGGATCTTAATTGATGTGACCACTGAACTCAGCCTAACATTCATATATAAAGCAAAGTTACACATGCACATAAACAAACTTGACTAATGTTTAAGTATGCATTAATAATATCCTCGATTAAAAGATAAAAACAACAGACATAATAGACGTCGTGCACAGCATAATTACAATAGTAGTATGAAATTGTAGCTACAGTAGCAATTAATTTCATCGAAATGAATATGCTAATATTCCTCTGGAGTGATGATATAATTATTACTTTTAGTTAATTTACCAAAGGATGACCTAATTTTTATCACTACATATAAATTAATCACTAACTTAAAATTATTTTTTTATTATTATTATTCACGTTTTTCGCACGTTCAAAATTGAGCGGCAATAAAAACTCAAAGGTTTTCACTGGAACGTCGCGTTGGCGGGTTACTATTACTTTACTATTCTTGTCGAGAGACGTGATTGTAACTATTCAATATGATAAACATTAAGCTTGAAATACGTATAATATACAACAAACAAACAAAATTAAAAACAACGAACTATGACTAAGAACTATCTTTTCACAAAAGCTTAAACAACATACCCATCTCACCTTTATCTTTTCTATAGTCTTTATAACCTATTTTAGGTTTTGGTGTGTATAAACATCATTATTTCACCAAAATAAATGTAGCTGTTGCACAAAATAATAAAAGTACTGTTTTCTTATCAACCTATTTATAATTACGTTTTAAACATAACAATCAAAATTTTGATTTGCATGTCTCAATTATGTGCTGACTTGATTACAAGATGCCTGTATAAATCTTGGAAACTTGGATGGGTCGCTTTTTTAATGTGTGGTAGAAGTTTGTATTTTATTAACCTACAAAATTTAAATTATTTTAAATATAAATAAATTATAATTTATAATATGTGATTCTGACAAACTTCAAGAAGAAATCTCACATTATACATAATTGTTATTGAATTCTTAGGTGAATACTGACCACTGACTGCTACTTTTTATGAATAGCAAACAAAAATAACCTTGTCAGTATGCTTACATGCAACGACCCTTCAATAAAAACAACAAACATTTTCAATTTGCACATTTATAGTTTAAAAAATTAAAATGTTAAGCATAATTATATTGAATACAAAGATACATTTTTTAGAAATTTAATACTCATTTTGATGACAAAACAAGTACATTTGAAGGATATCAAAAAACCTTAAACGATATTCTTATTTGTGATAGATATCAACTTTGTTTCGCAACTATTAAAAATGATTTAAATTATATTAATTTCTAATGAAGACTTCTTTCATCTAAAAAATACCAACATTAATAAAATTATAAAAAAATTTAATTTGACAATGTATCGAATGCAATTGGATACCGGTGTGTGCTGGTTTCCCATATTATGTGTGCTCCTGGTTCAGGGCTGTCCACAGTAATATTGTGACCAGTAGAAAAGGTATTACCAAAAAAAATTGTAATATGTACATGATATTATGCTTGTTTTTAATGTACTGGAGTAATACTACTTTTAAATATACTTGTTTCCAACTTTCTCATACATGTTATACTATACCAAGGCATAGTCCAACACCCAACATCAACTTTAACTTCATCGTAGTAACCATTTTCATAAACAACATAGAATAAATGAATAAATTGTTGCTTACAGTCATATTATTGTTTGTATATCTTCTTATTAATCAGATGTGAGTTAATGCTCTTTGTACTTTGTAGAGTGTGTTTGTCAGTTTCACAATTGCATTTTATTTCTTAGAGAGATATTGACTGAGAATGCAATGAAATTAAAATTCTTATTTGTCTCGTCAAAAGTAATATGGTATAATGAGTAGGTCCAATTTATTTACCCTCTTAATTTTCTGTTTATGAACCACCATCACACAAATGCCATCTTAATCTTACATGTCATCAGTAAAGTACTGCTGCAAGTATTATTATTATTTCCTTTCTTATATTTAAAATGTAATTGATTTTGCCTATTCATCGAAGGATCACTTTTTCATGAAAAAAATACAAACCTTCATAGTTTACAATGTCATAAACGTTAAACTTAAGTCAACTAAGAACACTTCATCTGTAATATTATCTCATTTCTTCAGACAAACTGATTATCATAAATTTATTAGTTGTAGTTACCATTTTTGTTTTTTCTTCAAAGGATGTCTTTCAGAGAATCATGCTAACCATCATCTGTTGTAATTTTGTTTTTATCTTATATAACATGTAATAAATATTGTTGGCCATCAAAAATTAACTACCATTTGTTAACCTTTATAGCCTTCTATTCAAGATATCAACATTTAATGAAACGTCAACCCTCATGACTCACAATCACATTTTCAATTTATTTGCCATGTCAGTAAAGTAGTGCTTCTCTGTATAGTAGGTATTTAATTTATTCTACAATATTTAAAATAAAACTGATTATCAAAAATTTATCATCATCTTTATCCATTTCTCATCCTTGTTTTGTCGTTACCTTTCAGCAAAGCATATGGACAATTCTCAATATTATCATTTTATTGTAGTTGTATTAGTCAGGGTGTCTGTTATACTGTGGCCTTTAAAGTGTTGTATATCCTGTTCTATGCTCACAGCATATAACCTGATCTCAATGACCTGGTCAATATCAATCCCAGCATTCTCTATGGAAGTTGTCTATAGGTGATGGTATCTCTACAGAGACTTGCTTGCTTTTTGTAGGGAGGTGATAGGGATGGAAGTGTGGGATTTCTCCCTTTTTGTATCCTCCTCCCTACCATACCTTTTCAAACCTCTTACAGGGATCATCACGAAACGATAGTTGAAGGTCCTCTTTGAATTATTACCACTGCTCAGACTTCGCCTATGCCTAGGAGTCAGGACCATTATAATCCCAGGCCCCTCAGCCTTGACTTCTCCTTTCCTTCTCCTGTTTTTGTCCTAGGGAAGACTACTACAATCGAATGAGGTCTTGAAACATCAAAAAAAGTCTAACGGGGTATGTGGTTCGTAGGTGTTTTGTTAGTGATGGATGGAGAGATTTTGAGTACCTCACTTTAAAGGTAAAGGTTACCAGAGCAACCAGAGCCCCTTCAGGCTACTCCCACAGTGCCATAACGTGGACGGTCAAAATGTGAACCATCTCGCTGTCCACGAGCGTTTCCCACGGTTCACTACTAGGTACCCTATTATTTCATTGTAAGAAGGTCCATTGAAACTAATCATGTTCGAATTTTAGTACAAAAATTATTGTAAATTTTATTTAAAAATATTATTTTTAATAGGGTATATGAATATTATTATAATTATTGATTTTTTTTTAGTTTTCCCTTATTTTTCATTATGAACCTCAGTTTGATGCAAGGTTGATCCTGAGTAAATTTTACCGCGAGCATTCAATCAAAAGTTGCATTCACCTCATCCAACTTGCGTTTATAATTTTTACAAATAATTTCTGTTTGCAGGAGGAAATGTACGATCTTCCTGAAAGGGTATTTCCTTCTTTCGAACTGGAAGTTCACAGCTCCGCCCCACAAGTAGGGAGGAGAAAGGAGGAAAGTATAAGTGAAGGAGTCGACCGAAACTCAGACCAGTTGATCCCTTCGACTCTCACGCCAAGGATTAGGATGAAACATTTCTAAAACGGCTAAGCAATGATTGTACGTATTAAAAAAATTATCTTTATTTTGACCCACCAATAAAATTTTAATTGAACCACTAGCTACATAAATTTCTAAAGTAAAAAATATAATTTGGACCTATTAAAGATTTTTTACCAATTCAGAAATATTCAAACGACAAGTGTGATTAGACGGACTGCAATTTGATCTTCAATTAAACTAATTTACAATTTCTGCAATAATTATACGGTTAATCCACAGTAATCACTATAATTTCTAGACTTAATGGCTGTTAACTCAGAAAATATGAATCAAAAATTTATCATTCATTCTAGTACATATTTGACAATGACTTTTACCGTATATATCAAATCATGATACAAATTTTACATTTTGTAAATTTTCCAACGATTTTTGAGGTTCCTCCTCAGATACACTCCTACACATTTTGGGTGACGAAGTTCTAACAAAGTTTGTGATACTACTTCACGGGGGTCTACGGGGTGATCAACCTCCACTTTGGTCGTTTTTGGTCATACTGGACGGCCTATTTTCACTGGTCTGTCAAAAGTGTTTCAGCTGCTCACTGTGTTAGGTCTGTGTGATATCCTGCGTTAGGTAAGAAAGTATTATAAATGGAAAAAGCCGAAAAACACTTCTGACAGATCAAATTTGGATAGGTAGACCAAAATTATCGAAAAATACCAAACTACTCACAAATATGCCAATTTTTCAATTTTTTACCTTCTATGCATAGAGTAACCTAACTGTTTTATATGAACCAGTTTACATCGATAACCCAAATAAGAACTAGCAATCTATTTATTTATTATATATAAAATATATAATTATGTGGAAATCGTGAGATGCGGTCTGGTGTGATGTAGGTTTCAGAAAAACATTTTCTTTATCGTACCAACGTTTCGATCTTTATTGAGATCATCTTCAGGGCCTGGTATTTACAAACATTGTTTAAATTTAACAAATACATGTAGGATGTGGAAAAAAGTGAATTTATACAATGCAAAATATATTTTTTATATTCAATTAAAGTATTTCTACTCACACAGTGTTTGTCTTCTGTGCGATAGTGCCATTCTTGCGTGTCGTGTTGTCTCAACGATAAAGAAAATGTTTTTCTAAACCTACATCACACCAGACCGCATCTCACGATATCTGAATAATTATCGACTAACGGTCACTAATCACCGCACATAAAATATATACTTACGTGTTAAAACGTATAAATAGTTTTTTTTTTGTTACATGGTACTTAGTAGTCACTGCAAGTATGAAGTAATTGTCCAGTTGCGTGTCATTCAAATTAATTTCATGTATGGATCGCGTGTTTTTTAATTTATTCGCGGATTTCGTAAGATGAATAGCTATTAAAAAAAAATCACCTGTCATGCAATGCCCCTTCCATCTTCCAAACCCTTTCCAATTCCAATTTTAAAAATCCGAAAAATCCATTGGTGTCTATTAAAATAAAATATTTGTAGAGAGTTGTTTTACACAAAAGTTTACAAATTAACAGAACATAATTTTGAATTCACTATTTTTCGTGGTCCGCTTGACCAATTAATAACATTCAATTAATTAAGGTTTTAAGTTGAGATAAAAAAGTCAGTGTCACGAGCGGGATGGGAAGTTAGTGCCCGAGGGGATCGAAGTCACGATAGCTCAAGTGGTAGAGTAGCGGCGTATCAAGCCGAAGATCCTGGGTTCGAATCCCGCTCGTGACACTGACTTTTTTATCTCAACTTAAAACCTTAATTAATTGAATAATTTTGAATGTTTTGATTCTTAGTTGCTCCTTGGAAGAAAATAGCATTCTTTCGAAGGAACGATATTTAAAATGTTATTATAACTACTACACAGATAAAAATAATATATTTGTAAAAAAGTTTTTCACATTTTAACTAGATTAATCATCTCTTAATTGACTAGTATAAACTTAATTTGAGATTAAATTAAAAACTGGCATATTCAATATTCTTATTGAGAAAACAGCGAGTACACAAGGACTTGAGACATTTTTGTCAATCTAACTGATGGCAAATTTACAAATTGTTTAATTAACTTTAAAGATTTTGTAGGTTTCTAGTTAGCGAATCTTGTAGTTTTGCTTAAGTTGAACTTCCCTGGCGAGCCTGGCCTTCGTCTTCCAAAAGGCAAATTATTTTTTTCAAAATCGATCAGTCCTGAAAAATTTTGGTTGGAAAACTATCTTTAGGTTTTACATTAGGACACTTTTCGTTCAGCAGCCCAACGGTGATTGGAATGAAAGTGGAGTTAAGTTGAAAAAAGTCTATCACGTTGCATCCGTGATCTACACCCCACGTCCGACCACGATTGCTACTTCTCCAGTAATTTCGTCTTTAGGAAATCGTCTCGTCTACGCCCAGATTGGGAACTGCTTTCCAGGTACAAGGCCCGTCCTTTTAGGTGAATAAAGCCGTAACAAACGGCCGATAGTAAAATTCACTTCCTAGAGACGTGCCCAAACCCTCGTGGCTTGGCCTTCCCAAATTACGCCTCATTTCTTAAACGTCTATTATGCTGTATGGTAAAAACCGCACAACGGCACAACAAATAATCCGCTTTCCACTGGATGGCCAAGCGGTTTTTTGAAGAAAGGAAGGATTGTGCTGCAAGAGTTGAGTCACCGCGGGCTTTTCGCTCTGTAATGCGAAATTTAATTTTTCTAGAGGTAACGACACGCAATAGACTATAAAAGGCTTTCCATTTATTTAATATACGATGATACAGCGTATTATCTACATATAAGACATTAACTTCATTACTTACACAGTTATTAAAAATATTAATTATTAATTGCACGAATTTGAACTTTAGTGTTCAACCCAAAAATTATTAATTAAAATCCCTTTTCTCTTATTTACATTTATAACTTCAATAAGTTTTGAATATGGTTATTCCAAACGCAAAGCCAACCGAAGACTGTCAAAATTAATATTGAAAAACTAAAGATTCAAAAAGCAATCAAGCCAAAAAATATAAATTCGGTGTCCACCTGATCACAGGACTTTCTTCGGCAAAAGAAAAAATTGAAATGCCAACAAAATCTATTTTTTTAATCTTACAATAATTCAGGAATACATAGAAATTTTAAAGTTAACTTTCCATGACACAAATATCATTGGAAATCCAGTTGTATTTCTGATACTGTACAGTGTCCAACATTGCCTTTTATTATTTATTCTCACAATCATTTCAAATTAAATTCGTCATTAAATTCAAATTTAAAAAAATGAAATAATTCCTTGTTATTATAAGGATACATGACCAACACAGTAATCATTTTCGGTATTTATAAATTATTTTATTTACAATTTTATAAAACTATATACATAATATTATATTAACCTGAACGCATATCAGAACACACTCCTAAATACTAATTGGTCATAAACAGTTAGCAAATGACATTAGATCTATTGGCAAATTTCCGGAATTGGAAATACAACTTAAAAATTGGGCACGAACAAACGAGTTTTGCCTTGAAAAAAATTGTTGTTTTAAATTTAATTGATCCAATAGAAAAAATATAGTATTTTTAGTGGTGTTATTAATAAATAGAAATTATTACTTCTAAAATGCTGTTAATCGTAATCTTAGTTACCCTCTCGTAAACTTTTAATTTCTAAATATATAGGCAGATAAATAAAGATAAGGACTCCTAGTCCTTGTCATGTTTGTCAGGTGAGCCAGCAAGAATTGATACCCTGACTGACCTAGGTCACAGGAGAAAACGCTCAGTTGAGGCCAATGAAGGATCTATTGAGTCTGACGAGGGGAGATAGAGTGAAGAGGCAATGAGAGTGTTGGCGACACTCGAGATATAAGAAAATAGTCACCAGGTGCAAAATATAAATGTACCTCATGTTCGATAGGTCACTTGATGATTGATCTGCAGAAAGTTAATTTTTTTAAATTTATGCAAAATGTATTTTATACTCAAACTAAATAAACAAACAACTGGCTATGAGTGTTAAAAAAATTTGCTTTGATGTCACACAATTTCAATATTGTTACATTGTTAGAAAATATTGAAGACAAACGACAAATTGATAATTATACCTGCATTGCTTGTAATAATCAAGTGCACCTTCATTATTTAGGTAGACATGTTGCAATAAGTTGGAAAAATAGAAATATTCGATCGAGTCTGTCTGACAATCGAGTTTGCTTTGGAAACTGAAAAACATCCTCCCTCATACACGGCAGACCGATTTTGCCGAATCCGTTGGAGAACTGAATTTCCGCTGTATGTACGCATTAGGGCGGGTGTTCCTCACGGAAGTATACTTGGCCCATTTCTATTGACAATACACTGCAGATAGTCCTACATATGTCAACTTCAACAAATATATTCACTGGTGATACAGCGATTCTTACACGTAATTCGAACCCATCCATAAACCTTCATAAACACTCAACACTTACAACAGTGCCTGCAAGAATTAACAGTATGGTTCACAAAGTGAAAAATAAAGATAAACCTGACGAAAAGCGTACAGATAAATTATACCCTGCGTAAAAGCATCTGTTCCCCAATGAGGTTTAATGGAACTCCATTGCTTACCACTGACCTCGTGCGATCTTGGGCTTTTCGTACATTAACTACTGAATCCTCAGACAAGCTGAAAACACAAGGAATAAATCTATGTTAGAAATTATTAAAAAGACTGCTTGACTTACGATCAAAATTAGCCATTGAAAACAGCTTTTAATTTACAAGACAGTAATAAGGGGCGTCGGTGGCCGCAACGGTTTAGGCGTTGACACGGCGCTCATCACTGTAAGGTGAAGGGCCCAGGTTCCAATCCAGCGGCCCTGCATTCGAACCCGACATACTTACAAATGTTTTTTTCAAAAACGCCGGCACCCTGAGGGTTTATATGACCTCTACTATTGCGAACCCTCATAAAAAAAGACCTCTCAGTGACTACTGTTGTGAAGTGTTGGCTGAACTAAGGATTAGAATTATCAACGTCTACAATCAATTCAAAAAT